TGAGGAAGGGTTGTTGAGGTGGTTCGGACATGTGGAGAGAATGGAGCGAAACAGAATAACTTCAAGAGTGTATCAGTCTGTAGTGGAAGGAAGGCGGGGTAGGGGTCGGCCTAGGAAAGGTTGGAGGGAGGGGGTAAAGGAGGTTTTGTGTGCGAGGGGCTTGGACTTCCAGCAGGCATGCGTGAGCGTGTTTGATAGGAGTGAATGGAGACAAATGGTTTTTAATACTTGACGTGCTGTTGGAGTGTGAGCAAAGTAACATTTATGAAGGGGTTCAGGGAAACCGGCAGGCCGGACTTGAGTCCTGGAGATGGGAAGTACAGTGCCTGCACTCTGAAGGAGGGGTGTTAATGTTGCAGTTTAAAAACTGTAGTGTAAAGCACCCTTCTGGCAAGACAGTGATGGAGTGAATGATGGTGAAAGTTTTTCTTTTTCGGGCCACCCTGCCTTGGTGGGAATCGGCCAGTGTGATAATAAAAAAAAAAATAAAAATGAAAGAATTAGTCACCATGGCTTTTAAGATTACTTATCAATCTTGATGAAATATTCAAATTTTACACCTTTGCCGTATAGACACATCTTATGAGCCAGTGTTGGTGACGTATTAATACCCCAAAATTCTAGCGGCTTCAAATCAAGCAGGAGAAAGTTGGTAGACCTACATGTGAGAGAATGGGTCTGCATGGTCAGTGTGCACAGTATAAAATCCTGCAGCACGAAGTGCATAATGAGAGGAAAAAAAAACTTCCGACAGTGTTTTTGGATTAAAACGCTGACTTTCAGGTGTATTTTCATATAGTATTTATGGTTGTATCCTTGTTTTCTTGGTCTCATTTGATAGAATGGAAGATATATTACAGAAATAGAGATTATTTTGATAGGTTTCAAGATGAAAAGTACCTTGAAACTGAGATCAAAGTAGCAGAAATGTTTGATTTTTGCAGAAGTTGAAGAGTAAACAAACGATGCCACTGTCCAATACGTGTCCAGCTGGCCAGTCTAATATGCAGTCACAAATGGGTTGACATTATTTATACAATTATATAATAATGCAGTAGTATGCATAACAGTAAATCTTCTATTTTTGTGTGAATAAAAATTCAAAATGGAAAGTAAGAGTAATATAAGAGGGCCCTGGAGACATGACTAATGAACAGAAAAAAATGTTATTTAGTGCCAGGAATGTCTGCATTGTTTATTCTGGACCCTATTTTGAAATTGGCATCTTTTGAAATTTGTGTGAAATTGGCCAAATTGCCAATTTCTGACCACTTTATTGGGTAGTTGAAATCGGTAAATGGGTGGTTTCTTGTACTCAATTGATAGAACAAATGGAGTTGTAAAGAAATAGCTATGAATTTGGTTGACTGGAACAATGAATTTGGCCAAAAATAAGGTTCAAAGTGGGCGAAACAGCCAATGTGTATACATCGCCGAGACTGCTTAACTTTGTGAGAGCATAATTCTGTAAGTTTTCCATCAAATTTCATACTTTTGGTGTCATTACCATCGGAAAAAGATTCTCTATTATTTCATAAGAATTTTTTTTTTTTGAAAATTCTTTGACACAGAGTGACTTCAGGATCAAGGGTCTTGACAGTGAAAGGGTTAATACAATTTTTAGATCTGATTAAAAGTTTTAGAAACTTTTTCAAATTGCCTACACATTTTGCCATGAAATAAACCTAATCCCACACCTTTGATATACCTCTGATGAGTTTCGACAGTCTTACCGCTCCTGGAGCCCGCCATGGGCCAGGCTTGTCAAAGTATATACATATACGGTACGTATTTGTAAAAATATTCACCATATATTGACATGAAACCAGGAAATAATAATAAAAGCAACAACTATTTTTTCTAACAAACTGGTCGTCTCCCACCGAAGAAGGGTGACCTGAAAAAGAAACACTTTCACCATCATCCACTCTATCCCTCTCTTGCCAGGGGCATATAAATACTACAGTTCAGATGCCCTTCCAAAACTGCAAATATTCCACCCCTTCTTTAGAGTGCAGGCACTGTACTTTCCACCTTCAGGACTCAAGTCTGGCTAACCGGTTTCCCCTGAAGCCCTTCACAAAATGTTACTCTGCTTACACTCCAACAGCTCGTAGGGTCCCAAAAACCATTTGCCTCCACTCACTCCTGTCTAACATGCTCACACATGCCTGCTGGATGTACAAGCCTCTTGCACACAAAAACTCCTTTATTCCCTCCCTCCATCCTTTCCTAAGGCAACCCTTATCCCACCTTCCATCCACTACAAATTTATGCACACCCCAAGTTGTCCTATTTTCCTCCATCCTCTTTAAATGTCCTAACCACCTCAACCCCTTCTTTTAGTAACTCTGCACCTCCGCCTAATCTCCAGACCCTAATCCACTGTGAGGCCTGGTTGTGGACCATGCCATGGGGGCGTTGACCCCAGGAATACCACACATTGCCCTCAGACAAGATATCTCCACTGCCTCCAACCTCCTATTTGCCCCCATGGATAACATTCTTTGTCTCCACAGATGCCTCATTGCACCACCCACATTTTTCCTTCATCAATTATATGTTCACCTGTCTTTCACATATCCATCCGCTGACACGTCCACTCCCAAATACCTGAACAAATTCACTTCCTCCATACTCCTTCCAATCTGATATCCAATCTTTCATTACCTAACTTGTTTGTTACCCCTCATCAGCTTGCTCTTGCATAAGTTCACTTTTAACTTCCTTTACACACCCTCCTAAATTTGTCCACTAACCTTTGCAGCTTCTCCTCTGAATCTCCAAAAAGCACAGTATCATTAGCAAACAGTAAATGTGACAACTCCCATTTTGTATTAGATTCCACATATTTTAATCCCACACACCTCTACCCAACACCTTAGCATTCACTTCTTTCACAACCCCATCTATAAATATGTTAAACCATCATGGTGACATTACACATCCCTGTCTAAGCTCTACTTTTACTGGAAATAATCTCCCTCTCTCCTACATAACCTAACAAAAGCCTCACTATCCTCGTAAAAACTCTTAACAGCATTTATTAACTTACCATCTATTCCATACACTTGCAACATCTGCCACATTGCTTCCTTATCCACCTTATCACATGCCTTTGCTAAATCCAAGACAGCAACAAAAGTCTCCTTACGTAAATATATGCTTCAAAACTGTATCCCCACCTGCTTTTAACATTTCTTTCATGATCCCATCAATTATTATAATTATTATTTCCTGGTTTCTTTTAAACATATGGTAAATACAGTCGGCAATTACAAAAATGTTTGTGTGTGTGTGTTTGTGTCTGTTTGTCTCTCGCAACACACCATGGGCACTCATGTGCATGCACACACACATAGGTGAGTATACACACATGTATGCACTCACTCACTCAAAAGCATGCTGACATCACAGTTCAAATGAGCCTCTGAACTTCAATATCCCCAACCCTCAGAGAGCCGGCACTATACTTCCCACCTCCAGGGCTCAAGTCCAGCAAACTGATTTCCGTGAATCGTTTCATTAATATTATTTGCTCTCACTCCGACGCATATCACATCATATAAACCACTTGCCTACATTCACTTGTATCTAAGATGCTCACACATGTCCTCTCAAATGTTTCCCTAAATGAGCAAACAAGTCCATTTCCTATTACATTCAAGATTTTTTATAATTTGGGCACCTCAAGCACAAATCTGTCTCTGTGCAACATAGGTTCACTTGAGTACATGAAATGTAGTGCATTATCTAAATACAAATAAATAATTACACCCTATTTCTTTACCTTACACCTATACAATGTCTTCAACCATATTTACCTTTATTTGGTCTTGTAATGCTATCCTTAATATAATTTTATTATCTCATCCTAATTTTTCTTAATTCAGGCACAGAAGAAATTTTCCATTTTAAATCCATGTCAATTCATCTGTATTTCAATTTAATTTTCTTTTAGATGTGTTCTTACCACATCTTTGGCTTGCTTTTTACATCAATCATCTTGCAATTTCTCCAGGTCCATGCTAACACCCATATGCTGCATCATTACCTGGTGCCCTAATATTGCTGAAATAAAAATCTTAAGTAATGTAAGCAGTACTCACCAGTCAAGCTGTCCTTGCTTGCTTGTTGCATGTGACAATGACTTTGTCCAATCTGTTATATTAATACATCTTCTAGTACTAAAATACTTCTGATAAATCACTTATATTGATTATATCTGCAGTGTTACACCAAACATCACTGAAACTGTTTTTCAATACAATCAATACTTTCATGATACCTGTGAAATTAAGAACACGCTGGTCCTCACAAATGTTTATGACAAATACACCCACACAGTTGCTGGCACACAGACAGGTTAAGCTTCCTACCACTGGAAGCAGCAAGTAGTGGATGTCAAATGTAACAGCCACTATATATATTTGTTTCATGATATCGACCTGTCAATCTTGATGACAAACCAAGACACCTCAATGAGCACAGCAGCTTTATCCGTTTTATTGTACAACAAAATTTCATCGCCAAATTGTGAATATATAGTGGCACATCATTAAACAAATGTGACCGACGCAAGTGATTAAGTATGCCAGCACAAAATCATGCTCAGGGGGTATCTTCTACTTTATCCTACTAGATATGTTTGACTGTGGATTTAACATTTCACAGTACTACCCAAGGTTAGACTTCATATACAGGTGAGCTGAGAGCAATCCATGACACAGGATCAGTGTGTCAGTTGTTTTCAGACGGCATTATATGAACTCGAACGATAAGTATCAATGTGAAAAATCAAAAGCCCATTACAGTTCCATCTGTTACCTTAGTCTTTAAAATAAAGCTCCTACCCTACCCACTCGATTATGCAATAAAAATATAAACAAGCTATTCTATTTTCTAATGCAATTTCAGCATCTCTCATTGAACTGCATAAAATTTGCATAAGTTCATTCTTTCTAGCATCTGTTTATCTTCTTTCATGACCTGACACTTACCACAGCCTTAATATTGTCATGTATTTCCATACTCTGAGTGTCTTTGTCTGTATCATATAATCCCAGCTGAAAACATGAAAAAGACTTGTAAGTGTTGACAAAGGGGTGAAAATATATCGGGAATCCATAATGAAAGTTATAATTTTTAAATGCAATGTCAATCTACAATAATGACAACTGATAATTTTTCCTCCAAACTAAGTGGGTAAACAAAGTGACATTTTTTCAAGTATAAAAAGTTCATTCGGCTGTGCTTTATTTCCTCTACTTCCTATCTCAAAAGAATACGGTAATATAAACACAATACTCACCAAATAAAGAAGAATACCAAATTTTCAAGGATTAGGAAAATTGCTTATTTACTAATAGTCTTCAAACTGGTATGGTATACAAGCAGTATAACTAGGCTAGGGAACTGATGACCCTCCCCCCCCAAAAAAAAAAAAAAATTCCAACTGGTAAAGACAAAACAATGCATGTTACAGCCTAGTCAATCCTTAACACAAGTTTAACTTCACTTACCTTTCAGAGTACACACAATTACTTTACGTTAACAGTATATTTAGTGAACTTATATCCATTTATTTATTTCACATATTACTAAGCTATAGTTACTCATCTTAAGCTTTAGTGAGTGATACCTTAGCTGGAGGTTCCTCTTGTGGTATCTTCGTAACATCAGGTCTGTTCGGTCTTTTGTTGTGGCCACTCAGCTTGGGTCTGCTGTCAACAAGGAAAGAATATTTACTGAATTGTGTTTTCATATTCTCCCCTTTCCTGGATTTAAAGCCATGATTTTTGCTGGGTAGTTTTTTTTCACGATTATGTGATATTTATTAACTTACCTCTATTACTTTACATGCCCTATTATCTCCTACAAGGGGTTGCTACTACAGATAAACCTCCCTAAGCCTAATATAACCAGCCTTCTTGCCACTGCATTTGCCTTAAAATGATGTAGACTACATAACTTAGTAATCAGTAATATATTAATTTATAGAAGAATCATACAATAAGACAATTTCAAGAGTAAAATCATGATTAAAGCACATAAGAATAAACAGTAATAAATACAGAAAGGTCTCATAAAGTTCCTCCAAGTAGTGTGACTTTTTGTAAAAACAATGGAAAAAGCACTTCCAAAAATTGAATAGCAAGTGGTAAGGCCTTCATTGTATGTGAAACTTTGAGTGGACTTTTTCATTCTCATTTACAGAAATATCACACTGCATAGAGGAATCAGAACCACACACAATTTTCTAGAATAGGATACACAAATGTAGAAAGTAATTCCTATTTTCTTAATCAAAACTTGAATGCTCCACTAATAATACCTAATAGTATTTCTTGTAAAAATCTTGAAAGACTATAATTATGCCCAAAATTTATGTTTTCTACCTATTAATGAATAACTTACAAGCAGTCAGCTATTCTTTTTTTTTTTTTTTCAACAAGTCAGCCGTCTCCCACCAGGCAGGGTGACCCAAAAAAGAAAGAAAATCCCCAAAAAGAAAATACTTTCATCATCATTCAACACTTTCACCACACTCACACATTATCAATGTTTTTGCAGAGGTGCTCAGAATACAACAGTTTAGAAGCATACACATATAAAGATACACAACATATCCCTCCAAACTGTCAATATCCCAAACCCCTCCTTTAACCCCTTCAGGGTCCAAGGCCCAAATCTGAAGTGGTGCCCCAGTGTCCAAGAATTTTCAAAAAAAAAAAATTTGTTATTTTTTCTTATGAAATGGTAGAGAATCTTTTTGTGAAGGTAATAAAACAAAAAGTATGAAATTTGATGGAAAATTGACAAAATTATGCTCTCGCGAATTTTGATGTGTCAGCGATATTTACGAATCGGCGATTTTGCCGACTTTGACTCCTATTTTAAGCCAATTACATTATTCCAGTCAACCAAATTCTTAGCTATTTCACTAGTATTACTTCTAGTCTATCGACTGAGCACAAGAAATCGCCAAGTCAACTGTTTCAACTACAAATTAAAGTGATCGGAAATTGTTAATTTGGCCAATTTAACACAAAGTTCAAAATATTCCAATTTCAAAATAGGGTCCAGAATAAACAATGTAGGTATTCCTGGAACTAAACTAACATTTCCTCTGTTCATTAGTTACGTTTTGAGGCTTTACAAATAAATTACATTTTGATTTTTTATTCACATGAATTTTTATTCACACCAAAAAATAGAAGATTTACTGTTATGCAATACTGTAATAATTGTATAAATATCATCACCATATTTGTGAATGCATATTAGACCCACGAGCTGGCGTGTATTAGACGTGTGAGGTCATTTGTGTACTCTTGACTATCGGAAAAAATTTAACATTTCTGCTACTTTGAGCTCAGTTTCAAGCCATTTCCAGTGCTAAAACCAATCAAAATCATCTCCATTTCTGTAATATGTCTTCCATTCTATCAAATGAGACCAAGAAATCGCAAATACAACTATAAAAAACATACGAAAAAACACTGCAAAGTCGCTGTTTTAATCGAAAAATCATGATTTCAGTTTTTTTCTCTCATTATACAGTGTGCTGCAGGATCTGTTTTATGTGGTGCACACATACCACATAGATGTATTCTCTCATATCTAGGCCCAAATGTACCACTCACAGTTTATCAGAGTGAGCTGAGCTCATGACGTAGATCTACGGTTTGGACCCTGAACGTAAAGCCGTAGATCTACGGGACGGACCCTGAACGTAAAGCCGTAGATCTACGGGACGGACCCTGAAAGGGTTAAAGTGCAGGCATTGTACTTCCCATTTCCAGGACTCAAGTCCGACTAAATGAAAATAACCGGTTTCCCTGAATCCCTTCACTAAATATTACCCTGCTCACACTCCAACAGATCGTCAGGTCCCAAGTACCATTCGTCTCCATTCACTCCTATCTAACACGCTCACGCATGCTTGCTGGAAGTCCAAGCCCCTTGCCCACAAAACCTCCTTTACCCCCTCTCTCCAACCCTTTCGAGGACGACTCCTACCCCGCCTTCCTTCCCCTATAGATTTATATGCTTTCCATGTCATTCTACTTTGATCCATTCTCTCTAAATGACCAAACCACCTCAACAACCCCTCTTCTGCCCTCTAACTAATACTTTTATTAACTCCACACCTTTTCCTAATTTCCACACTCCGAATTTTCTGCATAATATTTACACCACACATTGCCCTTAAACAGGACATCTCCACTGCCTCCAACCGTCTCCTCGCTGCTGCATTTACCACCCAAGCTTCACACCCATATAAGAGTGTTGGTACTACTATACTTTCATACATTCCCTTCTTTGCCTCCATAGATAACGTTTTTTGACTCCACATATACCTCAACGCACCACTCACCTTTTTTCCCTCATCAATTCTATGATTAACCTCATCCTTCATAAATCCATCCGCCGACACGTCAACTCCCAAGTATCTGAAAACATTCACTTCTTCCATACTCCTCCTCCCCAATTTGATATCCAATTTTTCTTTATCTAAATCATTTGACGCCCTCTTCACCTTACTCTTTTCTATGTTCACTTTCAAGTTTCTACCTTTACACACATTCCCAAACTCATCCACTAACCTTTGCAATTTTTCTTTAGAATCTCCCATAAGCACAGTATCATCAGCAAAAAGTAACTGTGTCAATTCCCATTTTGAATTTGATTTACCAAAATTTAATCCCACCCCAGTAATTACACAAGTGCTTCAACTCTTTCTTTATATGGTTTGTTCTTTAATGAATAGGAATAAATTGTTAAATTTCTTTCCACCTTCTCCACTTTTTCATTGTTGAAACTAATTGAAGATCAAAACTGGACAGCATATTCAAAGTGAGGTCTAACAAGTGAATTATAGTGATATACCTTTGATGAGTTCCATAAGTTTTCTACTCCCGGAGCCCAGCCATAGGCCGGTCTCGTCTGGTACTTGCTTGGTCAACCAGGCTGTTGCTGCTGCTGGTCCACCAACCCACATATCTAACACAGCCTGGTTGATCTGATAATATTGTTTTGATTTTTTTTTTCAACAAACCGGCCGTATCCCACCAAGGCAGGGTGGCCCAAAAGGAAAAACAAGTTTCTCTTTTCAAATTTAGTAATTTATACAGGAAAAGGGGTTACTAGCCACTTGCTCCTGGCATTTTAGTTGCCTCTTACAACATGTATGGCTTACGGAGGAAGAATTCTGTTCCACTTCCCCATAGAGATAAGAGGAAATAAAAAAGAACTATAAAGAAAATAGAAGAAAACCCAGAGGGGTGTGTATATATATGCTTGTACATGTATGTGTAGTGTGACCTAAGTGTAAGTAGAAGTAGCAAGACATACCTGAAATCTTGCATGTTTATGAGACAGAAAAAATGACACCAGCAATCCTACCATCATTTAAAACAATTACAGGCTTTAGTTTTACACTCATTTGGCAGGACAGTAGTACCTCCCTGGGCGGTTGCTGTCTACCAACGTACTACCTACATTGTTTTGATTATTTCACTGAAAAAATTCTAGCCATGACACCTTGCAATCTGTTGACTTTGCTGTGCACAGGCAGGCACTCTAGTTAACATTAGGTTACTGATAATGACTATTCCAGGGTCCTCCTTTGTCTGTCTTTGCTAGTGGATTTCCATACATTTTACACTGTTATACTGTACCCATGATGTATTATTTTATACTTGTCCACACCGAAACTCATATGCCATGCATTCAGCACTGTGCCAACCTATACATGCTCCTCTGAATACTAAAGACAGGTCACTATGTACCATGGTTCCCTAAATATTGTGATATTCACATCTTTTTTATAATGAAAAAATACTGATTTGGCTAGAAAATTTTCACAAAACACTGGTGAATAAAAAACAACCTCCTTAAATTATAACCCAAATAATGTGTAATGTGAATTTTGAAAAAAAAAAAAAAAAGGGTTAACTGAAATTCTGGTGTACTGTCAGTACTGCACTATGAGACAACCCAGAGACACCAATGCATACAGTAACCTTGTCTGCCACCTGTGATATACCTGTAGCTGGTTTTGAGTTTTAACCTACCCCTACAGCCCAGCTCTGGGCCAAGGTTGTCTGGTGCCGTTAGCGACCCACATATCCATCACAGTCTGGTTGATTTGGTACTTTACAGAGGTAGTGATACAGTTTCCTTGAACACTTCTACACTTGCTCCAGCAGCATTTCTGATATCTTCTGACAGAATATTGAATAATCTGGACCAAAAATGCTGATAGAGTGTTTTCTATTTGTGTCCATGGTGCCCCTGCTTTTCACTGGGTTTATTTTTTACATTTCCTCCCATATCTCTCACTCCAGAGAATACATATTCAGTAATTTTAGATATTCCAGGTAGGTTAAATGCTTTATTGACTCTATGAGGACAGTAAGTACTCTATCTGGTCAGCACTGAATGGAGTCATGCAAGTGGTTTAAGAAAACATCCCAAGGTTTTTACCACATTATTGCTGGATCTTAGAATCAAATTATGCAGCAATACATATATGAATATTGGCAGTAATAATTTTAGGCATACCCTTGAATGCCTTTGAAGAGCTAATTTAAGACTTTTCTACTCCTGCAGCCTGGTCCCAGACCAGGCTTGTCTGGTTGTTGCCTGATCAATCAGACTGTTACTGATAACAATCCACATATCCATCAAAGCTGGGGGTTAGATCTGGCATCCATAATGTGTTTTTCTACAGCATAAAAATCCTTAAGCTTGCAAAGATTTACTACAGTATGATTTCCAGTAATGTGTCAGTAAACAACAAAAATAAACTGATTTTTGCCCTGGTCTTAATGATACACCAACTCTGTATATGATGGCAAATGCATCAGTCTCAAGAAGTACTGCACAAGGCATAGTAATAGTTTAGGAAAGCAGCTCTCTAAAATAAAATATGGTAAGAAAAATTACACAACATACAAGTTTACCTTTCTTTTTCCTTGTGGTGACCAGAGCGTGACCCAAGTTTTATGTGTGAATGCCTGGCAGGATCTGTAACTTTCGTTTTTGCCAATGCTCGTTTGAATGAAAGTGTACAGAGCCAACATAATAGCTTCCCATCCACCTGAAAGTAAAAAAAAAAAAAAATAAATAAATAAAAAAATAAAAATGTAAATCAGTAAGTATCAAATATCATCATGTTCACATTCAAGATGACACAATTGTGCATATGTGAATTCTATTACCATTGTATAGCCTCATCATCTCACACATGATTTACATGGTGGTGCTCAGTAAGGCATGCAAATACTAGTGAATGTATGATAAAGTGAGTGTTTATGTGGTCATACCTTTGTGAGTTTAGTGCTTTTTTTTTTTTTAACACATCGGCCGTTTCCCAAAAAGAAAGAACTTTCATCATCATTCAATACTTTCACCATCACTCATACATAATCACTGTCTTCACAGAGGCACTCAGATACGACAGTCTAGACATCCCTCCAAAGTGCCAATATCCTGAACCCCTCCTTTAAAGTGCAGGCATCGTATTTCCCATTTCCAGGACTCAAGTCTGGCTAACCAGTTTCCCTGAATCCCTTCACAAGATAATACCCTGCTCACATAATACCTTGACAGGTCCCAAAAACCATTTGTCTCCATTCACTCCTATCTAACATGCTCATGCATGCTTGCTGGTGGAAGTCCAAGATCCTCACCCACAAAACCTCCTTTACCCCCCTTCCCTCTAACCTTTTTGGGAACAACCCCTACCCCACCTTCCTTCCCCAATAGATTTATACACTCTCCAAGTCATTCTACTTTGTTCCATTCTCTCTAAATGACCAAACCACCTCAACAGCCCCTCTTCAGCACTCTGACTAATACTTTTAGTAACTCCACACCTCCTCCTAATTTCCACACTACGAATTCTCTGCATGATATTTACACTACTCATTGCCCTTAGACATGACATCTCCACTGCCTCCAGCCGCCTCCTCGCTGCAGCATTTACAACCTATACTTCACACTATACTCTCACACATTCCCTTCTTTGCCTCCATGAATAATGTTCTTTGTCTCCACATATACCTCAGCATACTACTCACTTTATTTCCTTCATCAATTCTACGGTTTACTTCATCCTTCATAAACCTATCCACTGACAACTCCCAAATATCTGAAAACATTCACTTCTTCCATATTCCCTCCCTCCAATGTGATATCCAATTTTTCTTATTATTATTACTATTATAATCAAAACTATGCTGTTATACACAAATAACCCGCACATAGGAGTGAGCTCACAACGATGTTTCGATCCGACTTGGACCATTTACAGTCACTTTGTAAGTACCTTTGATATACCTTTGAAGAGTTTCGAGAGTTTATCTGCTCTCTGAGCCCAGCCATTGGTGCTTGCCTGGTCAACAAGGCTGTTGCTGCTGCAGGCCTGCTGCCCCACATATCCATCACAGCTGGTTGATCTGGCACCTGGTGATGATACTTGTCCAGTTTCCTCTTGAAGGCTTCTACGCTTGTTCCAGCCATGTTTCTGATAACTTCTGGTAAGATGAATAGTCTGGGACCCCGGTCCAAGTCAGACCAAAACGTTATCATAAACTCCTCTTTATATGTGGGTTGTGTACAGTTCCAGTCACAGTATTGTGTCTTTTCATTCAATATGTTCTTATACATGACACCATGTGATAAGTGCAAATTCTACCCTATTTCTGGAATAATTTCAGTGTTTCATGCCAGTTTTTGCTGCCCATCCTTAGTAACACACTGTATGCTGTACCAACACTTTACAAAATGGAAAAGGACAGCAGACATTGCAAGTACCATGTTTTATTTATATTAAAATGTTTTCTTGAAGCTTTTCCTTAGATTTTTGCCTCCCATTCCATCAGACAGACCCAATCTAATCAATCCCCTATCTAACCAAACTTTCAGTGTTCTCTTTTCTAACTACAAATGTACAGCATTATAAATTCACAAATTATGATTATCCAACATTTTCATCAAGAATCTTACATTAAGAGTTTCAATTATACAAGCAAAAATTTAAAGGATTTTTTTTTTTTTTTTGTATTTCATCTATAGTAATATGTAGTACACATTTTAATATTTTACAGGGTCATTTAAATTAAAATTTTAAGATATATAAACAGTATAGCCTAAACAAAGGACAGACTGGTGTGTATCACTGTCCGTACACTGCAGCCCTCTAATGTTAGTTTGCCAATCCCTTGATGTTTTGGTTCTCCACAGTCGCAAATACTGTACAGTATGTTAGATGTCGTTGTCAGGTTCATAACTGCAAGAACATCTTTGCTGCAGCCCTTAGATCAGAAAATTATTGCTTTCTAAAAGGTACTACACAACGTGTAGTATGACAGTGTGCAGGCTTGGCGATGAAACAACTTCCAGTGTGCAACAATTAGAAAAGCTACAATATTACAAACTGATCTGTCAATGTCAAGAAGGCACAGGAGGAGGTGAAGGAATCTATGCTGAATAATCTCTTTAAAGTAAACTATGGCCATAGGTAGAAAATAAATTCAACATTTACCAGCATGAGCGAGGAGGATTGGGAGACTGGCACATGAAATTGGAAGGAAAGGTTTCAAGGATATGAATCAAGTTGATGTCAAAATGATAAGGTCAAGTGAATATAATGACTGGTGATGAATAAGAAGTATAACCTCACAAAATTATTATGATATAATAGTTGCTGTAGGTAATACACACACACACACACACACACACACACACACACACACACACACACACACACACACACACACACACACACACACACACAGGAAGAAGAGAGAGAGAGGACCTAGTAGCAATCAGTGAAGAGGCGGGGCCAGGAGCTGAGTCTCGACCCCTGCAACCACAATTAGGTGAATTAGGTGAGGTGAGTACAGTGCCTGCACTCTGAAGGAGGGGTGTTAATGTTGCAGTTTAAAAACTGTAGTGTAAAGCACCCTTCTGGCAAGACAGTGTTGGAGTGAATGATGGTGAAAGTTTTTCTTTTTCGGGCCACCCTGCCTTGGTGGGAATCGGCCAGTGTGTGTTAACATATATATATATATATATATATATATATATATATATATATATATATATAATATATATAATATATATATATATATATATATATATATAATATATATATAATATATATATAATATATATATATTATATATTAATATATATAATATATATATATATATATATATAATATAATATATATATATATATATATATATATATATTATATATAATATATATATAATATATATACAGGAGGGCCCCGCTTTACGGCGTTTCACTTTACGGCGTTCCGCTAATACGGTCATTTCAAATTATGACCAAAACTCGCTATACGGCTCCCCCCACCTGACTTTCTAATACGGTCACCGCGCCCCACCCTGTTTGTTTACATTCTTCGTGAGCTCAGTAAGCACTAAGTCTCTCCATTTTGTCTGGAAACTCCAAAATTTCAAATGTTTTTAAAAGTTATTTCATATTTTATATATACTCTGATAATTATACTTATGTATACCTGTACTTAAATAAACTTACATACTGTGCTGGCATGCAGGTACACATTAAAATCAGTAAGAGTGTCTTATGTCTCCAGACGTCATATTAGTAATGATAATAATAATCATCGAGTCTCATTTAAATGTCATATATTACGTTAATTACACATTTCATTAATCCATCTATGATATTTTTTCAAAAATTATATAATAAACACAATACATAACATAAAAAGATGATAAATACACCCCACAATAGAATAAATAAACATAAATATGAGATGTGGTAGCAGACGACTTGCACAAGTGACGCCATATTAGAAATGATAATAATAATAATAATCACCGAGTCTCATTAAATGTTGTATATTACGTTAATATACACATTTTCATTAATCCATCCATGATATTTTTTTCAAAATTATATAATAAACACGATACATAACATAAAAAGATGATAAATACACCCTACAATAGAATAAATAAACATAAATATGAGATGTGGTAGCCAGATAACTTGTACAAGTGATGCCAAGAATAACATTTTTCTCTAATCTAACATAAGAGAAAATGTGTTACTGGGGGTAACTGTAGAAAATTATTCCTTTCGTATGTATGTAAGTAAGTTTATTCAGGTATACACAAATACAGTTACATAGATTATCATACATAACATATGTGTAGAGAACCTAGGATAACCCAAAAAAGTCAGAGTGACTTATTTCCATTGCCTTCACTCAGAGCATCATTTCTTCTCAAAATGATGTTACATGAGAATGGGAGTGTTCTTCTTTATTTATTCTACCGTATCAATGTAGAGACAACCTGTACACAATATAACTTGTACACAAACCAGACGTGTACACTTCGTTTACAAAACTTACCTTCGCCTGGTTTGTTTACATAACTCTGCGCCTGTCCTCTCTCATGCACTCATTCTTTCTCTCTCTCATTTATTCGTTTTATCTCATTTACTTACTCCTGACCCTACATTAAGACTACAAATATTTTAAGGTAAGTAATGAGTGAACTGTATATACATTTTATCGCTCTGGGATGCTTAAATGTAATAGAATATTATGTGTAGGTGGGTTGGCCTGGTATGGTAGCCCGGCTGACTACCATACATACCACACTTGATTTTTTGCAATAAATACTACTCATCTCACCCTATATTTTAAGGTAAGTAATGAGTGAACTGTATGTACATTTTATCGCTCTGGGATGCTTAAATATCATAGAATTGTATGTGTGGGTGGGGTGGCCTGGTATGGTAGCCTGGCTGACTACCATACATACCACACTTGATTTCTTACAACAAATACTACTAGTCTCACCCTAGATTAAGACTATAAATATTTTAAGGTAAGTAATGAGTGCACTATGTGTGTATTGTACTTTTTTATTGTTTTTTGATGCCTGGTTCTATTGCTAACTTAATATATGTTAGTGTAAACTTGTTATCTAGTGTTTGTATGCATTTGTAAGTGGAAAAAAAGGGTGTTCCACTTTACGGCGGTTTCTGCTTTACGGCGGTAGCCTGGAACCTAACCAGCCGTATAAGTGGGGC